ATTTCGACGGAACGTGACGTCCGTCGAATTCGCCGATTTAATTGCCACCTCGTCGAATTTCTTATTTATCAACTCGATTAATTTGAATCCATTCTATTCCAGCTTATCTATAATTTCATTAACTCAGATTACTGGTTTTTTTTTTCAAATTCCCGCTGATCAATTTCCATTTCTCTCTCGTAGTAGCTGCTCATTAAATTAAGCATCCCATTTTCGCGCATACCTGCTCTTCTAATTAAGTTTTTTCGCATTTCGGCGTGTCCATTGCCCCGTTATTAATCCGATCGATCTCCATCCCCGTGCCTGTTTTTATCTCGGCAATAATAAATTATTAATTCCCGGCATGCGTATGGAAACGCGAGGAAATGCCGGCGATTATTTTACAAATGCGGGAGATCGGATAGATTTGTCGGAATAAAATTCACTTTAATTATGCGAGCTAACCGCATTTCCAGCTATTAAGGATAGCCAGTGATCACCGAACATTTTCAGGACGCGCTCCATATTGGAAATGGGGCTTAACGGCTGAATATAATACGCGATCCGATAACAACACCACGCGTTCGAATAATAATACGTTCACAATAATAATAATTAAACGGTGATTTTTGCAAATCGCCCGCTGCGGGCTACATCCGAGAGTTCCGATGGTTCTCAATTTTTCAGGACTTCACTTTCGGAGTTAAATTATTTTCGCTTATCATTTCGATCGATGAAATCCTTTTATCGCGCGTAGCAGGAATTTAATAATTTGTGTTTAAGTTTGAATTTACGGGAATGAAAAGAATTAAGAATTAAAAAAGAAAGAATGCCTGAAATACGAAAAATGCGATGTAGAGCTCAAAAAGTTTGGAATTTAATTTATTTACGATGACAGATTCGCCACATTTCCAGAATTCAAAACGTTTTGAAATTGTCTTCAATTGAGGTATAGATGAATAAGGACAAGCAAAAACGAAAAAAAAAAACTTAATAAATGAGAAGAAAATAGAAATTGTCAAAGTTTGGGAATTTAGTAATCAAGGATTCCGTTAATCTTTAAAAATGCTGGTGATGATAATAAGATGCGCCAATTTTAGAATTGACAGCTTCAAGTACGATTTTCCCTTCCGTTTCTTCCGTATGTAGAAAAAAAGTGCTAGCTTCGAGCAAATAATTACTTCAATATTCCTTAGAAAATTTTTACTTGGGTTAATTAAATTTTACTTGGATCAAGTAAATATATTTTACTTGGAAATATCTTGGAAAATATTTTACTTGGATCAAGTAAACGTTACTTGATCCAAATCAAAATTTGCTAAGGAGTATTGAAGTCATGATTCGCTTGAACCTAGCACTTTTTTTTCTATGTAAAATTCCTGCGACGTGACGTCATTCCCCGTCTCTCTTACCGAATCCGTAAGTATATCGTCATCTTTGCATTTCAGCTCGTTCCCGCGGAACTTAAGGGCCTTCTTATCTCGCTCTCTACTTTATCTTTCATATTTCGATTTCCACAGGTCGATTTGGTGTTTCGCGAGAGTGTCCTGAACTTTCCCCGCGTCCTCGGATCCTCGAATGTTTCTCGGTGTCTTTATTAGTCTTCGAAAGTTTGCTACGGGACGGAATCCTCGTTAGAATCCGAACCAGTTCGAAATTATCCTTGCGAAGAGCGGTCGCAAGCAGATGATGGGTCGTCGAATAGACGGTGCAACAGGGGGAAGGGGGGAGGAGAAGCGCTCTTTATTAAAAATTCTTATTCAAAGTCCGCCCGTAACAGAAGCTCGTAAAAGAAGTCCTGCCGATGCCGGAAGAGCTTTAATAACGGAATTCTTAATGGTAGCCGCGAGATTGCCGATCCTTGCTTTCTCTGTCGCTATCCCGGCCGAAGGGATTGCGACGAATCCGTTCGGTTTATTAAAAATCTTTTATTTACGACGACCCGCGCCGTGACCGGAAGATCGCGTGAACGGCCGTTCGTGAAAGTTTCACGCATATGGCGGGTTCTGAGTGTCTTCTCGCTCGAGACCGGAAATCGACGGTCGAGGAGAAAATATTTAAATTTTGAAACGTTACCGTAGCCGTCATGAGAGCTGGATGTCCAAAAGCTTGGCCTGATCGTTCTCATCAAAATTTCAGAAGAAACTGCAATCCTGCTCTCTTTAAGTCGAATCGGTGAAAATGTTACTGATTGAGTTAGTGAAATAGTATTCGATATTCATCTACCGATAATCAGGGAGTATTCGTTAATATTTAACCCTCTTAGTTCTTTTGTCTGATACCACACTAATTTTAATGAAATTCACTGCAAATCGCCGTTACGCTTCCCGTATCAGAAATATATGTACATATCGTATATGATTCAACTATATCTCATATTTGTCGTATTTCGTAGCGGTGATAGCAGACTCAAGAGCTAGAGGTTTGGAGTTTGAGACCTATCAGGATAAGTGTGTTTTTTTAAATACGATATAAATTAAATCGGTTAAACATAATTAAGAATATTTCGGACAAAATCATTGGCAAAACCTTAAGAATCGGGCTAAGATAATAAAATAGAAATAATAAGTAATATATTTTTAAAAAAGAAATAATAAGTAATATATTTTTTCACTGTTTCTGCAGTTAGATTTCTAACAGACTTTTGTATTTAATAATGTCTATCATCTATAGTGTGTATTTTAAAGAGTGATAATCGACGCGTACCGAGTTCAAATCGGCCAAAATTCAAGAATCAGAAATTTCGTTATTAAAAAAGTGAGAACGAATTTTGTTCGCTTCGCTAGTCAGATTGGTGACAGAGGAGGCGAGAAATTTGTTTCAGAACATCAACCAGTCGAGGACCGCAAAAGACGCGAGGAATTAGTCGTGTGGAAAGTTGGCGGTTAACGCGCAACAGGATCAGAGAATGGAACCGTTCACACAGTTAGAGATCGCAGAATTAAAGAGTGAGAAAAAACCTTTTTCCGCACTCGAGCAACGGCACTCGGAAGGCGCGGGGAGACGGAAACTTCTCAGGATCCGAGCGACGCGCCGGTGCCTCCCCAAGTTCGCAGGATCCGCGCGGATGGTGTCTCTTTGATCCGTGGGCAAAACGAAAGTGGATTTGCGTAGTGCACTAGAAATTGAATTACGTGGAGGGGCTTTCTTTCGCTCTCGTGGGAGGATACCGTCGTCGAATCCTTGATCCTTCACCGGAGGCACGAAAAAAAGTCCTGTCTTCGTAACAGGCCTCTCGCTCCTAGCATCGAGCGGAATTAAAAATCGCGATGAAAATCCGATCGTCGTCGCGGGATATTGAAAATGAGAGATTCTCGGGAAAGTTCATTCGTTCTCGCCGGAAAAAAAGGAAGTGATAATCACGATGGAACAGTCTTTTCGGGAAAAATAATCAACAGTACATCGTAAATTCAAGTGTGTTATTTTTGCACGTATAAACGTCTAAAAATGATCACATTTGATTGAAGCTATTTTTACATGCTTTTTGCTGATTTGGCTTACGTCATTTAAAACGTTCAGTCCTGTTAAATTAACGCGTTAAATTACGACGCGTTAAGTTAATATGTCCAATCGTGTTGAATGACGCGAAAACGGCAAGACACGTGTAAGAAATGTGTAAGAAGAGCTTCAGCTAAAAAATTCGCAGTGTATTACGAATAAAATCTAAATATCGGTATCACTTCGTTAGCGGCATGATATATCGCACGGTGTGTATAATTGCGTTGCGGTAGTAATAAATTAAATGGCATAAAGTAAACATTTTATTTTATATAATTACCATTTATATATAATTTCATAAATTGTCAAGTGTGATATTAATATACGTAATTTTTTTATATATAAATATATATGTAATATCAATGACAATCGGAGAATAAAATGTTTATTATAGCAATTTACATTGCTGTGTCGCACATTGATGCCAAAAGTCTTTAACGAATAATTCATACATCGCCGTTGACGGTATAATCGCGTTATCTCGCCATAGTTGGTATAACAGGTAAGTAGGTGACGGTGCAATAACAGCAATAAATTAACGCAGCCGTGGCGGCAATATAGTCCGGACGATTTATTTTCGCGAACGGTTCAATGCTCCTGATTCTTCCTTCGAGCGTTTGTCGAGGAGCGCTCGTTGCCTCGACTTTTATCTTTACGGCGGAACGAATGCTCTCAAGAACAACCATCGATATTCCCGTCCGGAAATATCGGGCTTGTTCTCGAGGGCGACGTGCTCCGGGACGCGCGATCGACCGCCTCTGATAATTTATTGTCCCTGAAAAATATTGTCTTTTTGTCTCATCGTTTTCAAAATTTCCACCCGATAATTTGCCCGTCTTTTTTTTTTTCTTTTATTTTCCACCCCGAAAAATTAACACGGGAGAATGAGGGGGATGGGGGATAAAAGCGACGTTTTTCTCATAAAACGTTATAATTTATGAGAGAAAATGCACATCTTGATAGCAGGGAATAGAAAAGATTAAAGAATAATATGATGGAAGACGGAACTTTCTTTTTAAGGACGCTTCTCGCTCTCTTAATTACACATTTTTTCGCTCTCTTTTTACGTATTTATTCACAATTACTCGCGGACGATGCTCCCTCGGAGATGAATAAATTCCAAATATACCAGATCATTACTCAGATCATACTCTTTTTACATGTGGTGGTGGCGGCGGCGACTTCAACGTCCGTCCAAGATTTAATCTTGACGTTTCTCCCGAGATTCGTCAGCAGAGTTTCTTCGTACTTGTATCTTACGCGATGCGTTTATCTCTTTAAGGAGATTTCGGCGAAATTTCCGATAAGATATCCCAACTAATGAACTCCTCTTTAACATGTCACCGTTGTATATTGTTCCCATAAATATTTGATAAACGAGCAATGCAAAAATATCAATATCAATCAGAAATATCAACGCAAGATGTGTCGAAATAAAATGTCCTCTCTATAAAGATGTAAAATAGAAAGATTCCCAATGCGCATTTTCGTCATACATCTATCTCTCTCTCTCTCTCTCGCAGGTACAAGGATAATAGAGCCTATCCTTGGCCGGGTAGCACGAGCCACTTTATCCTGTACCCGGAGAGCGCGAATCAAACAATCTACACACAGGAGATGAGAACCTCGGACGCGGGACGATACTCCTGTCTGGCGCGTAACGACACAACCACTTTGGAGGGCGACATCACTCTCGCCGTACTCAGTAAGTAGGATATTCTAGGATAAAGCTGATGGCATTCATCCATCAGGCTATATTAAAAGCTCGAAGCACGTCCCGCTCGTGTCCGAGAGGGGGGCTGTTAGTCTCGCGTTATGCTAATAACGAACGATCGCGAACTATCGATTCGCCTTAATTTCCTCTCGCGTCGATCTGAATCTTCACTTTATTCCTTTATCATTCACTTATTCAATTATTTATATTTATTTAGCATTCAGTTGTTTTTCCATCTTTGTGTTTCATTCAATCATATTTATTTATTACAATATCCCTATCATTATCAACTTTTGCGATTTATTTTATTTGCCTTTTATTTATCACCGCGTATTTTCATGTATTAATTTTAGCTTTTGCAAAACTGCGTGTGTTAAGTGTCTAAAAGTTTCTCGGGCTGAAATTTTGGTTTTACATTACGGATTCTATTGAAATTCTATTTCCGACGAACGTTTGTCTGGGACGAGATGATTGAAAATTTGGTAAACGCTCGCAATGACAAAAATGCGTCAATTGGAAAAGAGGCATGCGCGTTTCCGATTTTATTCGCTTCTCCGCGCCCCACCTGTCGCTGGGAGGAAAAAAGAATTGCAAAACCCGGATAATTTCGTCGAAGATTCACCTTTGAAGCTACCCTGGCAACCGAAATAAAAGAGACCGGGCGAGAGACGGGATATGCCCTATCAGGGGACGAGTTGTCGCGGGAAGCGCTGCAAAATGTCAATCGCCGTCGCCGATAGAAAACGATACCGGTGTCCGACATCCCGCGTCAAAGAGGCTCGTTGTAATATTGTCATGTGTCGACATTATCCTGTAGGATACACGATACGTCCATGCGTACGCGATGGGGCACCGGAGGGGACGTCGGGAATCCTTCAATCCACGTCGAGATTTTCAGGGGATTCGGAGCGATTTTTTTCGGAAAACAATTTCAGGCGAGCGCGTGTGCAAATGTAAGCTCGCGGATATTTCGGAAGTCAATTTTTTTTAACGATGCAGGTTAACACGCGCAATTATCAGTCAGTGGGCACATGTGACGTTTAACCCATTAGAGGCCGTAATTATTTGAGCATTTTTAATTGAAGATTCGATCGATTATTTCTTAGATATCTCAAATTAATATTAGAACTACTTTCATTGAAGTCGTGGATTAATTAGAAATTACGAGATAATTATTGAAAACATAACAAAATTACATACAATGATTTTGTTATATAAGAATAAGTGTTCTATAAATAGAGGTGGATTAATTATTCTTGAGAACGCAACATCCGCCTTTAAAAAGATACGAAATACACCTAGGAGAAGAAAAGGCGCGACGAAGGCCGGCTTGGCGAATAATAATTGCACATTTGGCCGTTGCAGTGATACAATCGCGTTTCTCGAAACAATAGCAGATAATTCTGCCGAGAACGCGCACGGTACGCTGAAAGGGAGAGAGACTCGCAAAAAAAATATGGTTATCACCGCGCGCGTTTTAAGCGAAAAAATTTCGTCGGACCCTGTTATCGGCGGCGGGCCGGCCGATAGCTTCCTCGCGGAAGTCGTCGTTACGGGTGCGTTTATCCCGGCGACGCGATAACTCGAGATAACAGAGCCGGTGTGTCGCGCAATGTATCGACCCGGAATTTCAATTAAAGCCTGCCGCCCGTCGGATCCGACCGGCTCAGGCGGCAGAACCGTCCGGGCGCCAGTCAGTCGCTTTTCCGACGCGAGCTTTCCGCCCACGAGCGGGTCAAACCCCGGCAAGGGGGGCAAGGGAGCCGGGCCGAACGGGACAAAAGTGTCATGTATGGTCCATCTCGATTTTTATGACAACGGAGTTTTCCAATCTCGGAGAAAATAAAAGCCGACGAGCTGTCGTATTCCTGACGGTGGTCGACGAATTTTCGAACTCGATAGAAAATGCCCCGGCGGCGGGGCGGGGGGGACAGGAAGAGAATGAGAGAGAGAGAGAGAGAAATGTTTGTTTCAGCTTTAGGATATGCCTTCTAAAGACTAATAAGCAAATGTTTACACAAGTCAGGAAGGAAAAAGTATATAATAGGAAATAACAAAAAATACAAAAAGAAAAGAAAAAGTAAGGAATTAAGGATAAAGTACTGAGTGATGGAATGAAAAACAAAAAATTATTAGAGACATAAAGAGGGAGAGAGAGAGAGAGAGAGAGAGAGAGAGAGAGAGAGAGAGAGAGAAGAAGAAGAGAAAAGAATGATGTGTCTGCGTGTGTGTATGAGATATTTACACATATTCATATTTCGAGGGTTTGCGTAATCTCTCCTATCTTTATTTTTCATGTTATAAGTTATTTAAATTTCATGACTTTACTTGATTTGCCTTTTCCCACAGTACCACCTCTTGTTTGATATTTTTTAAATTTTCGACTCGATTCTTTTTTAACGTAATTCAATCTATTATTTCATACACTCGTTACTACAAAATAATACATTTATATGATATTAAATATCCACGCTATATATAAGAGAACAGAGGGGGAGGGGAAGAATAACATGTCCGCGTGTTACAATGGTATAAAATCCGCACGTTCAATGCGTCGGCTTAAATACAATAGAATTCGCAGCGTTAAACAAAAGCAATACGAATAGGGAGTAACGCGCGAGGAATTCAAAGACGGCCGCTTTCGTTATTCGAATATTCAGCGAGGAATGAAAAGAGGAAAGTTAAATTTCGTTGCATAATCGTGGGGAAACGTCGCGACTACGGCCGTTCTGTCGACGCTGTATTAGGGCTCAATTGGAATGTAACGGGGGAGTCGAGGCGGGAGAAGAAGAAGAAGAGGAAGAAAAGAAGGGAGGAACCTTGGCCGTTTTGGAAAATTCGCCGGGTCGTCTTTTCGGAGGGGGGGAAGGAGGGGGACGGGTGTTTCGGGCGATGCCGAAAGCTGCGAATAGCCGAGTTAATATTCATCGGGGGGAGCGACCGCGCGCGCATCCGGCCGTCTACGCTCTTAAACCCCTCGATTTAGCGCGCATTCGTGCACCGGCGCGCTTCCTCGTTCCCTTCGATATAACCAACTTACAGCTCGCCTAGCAATTTACCGGAAGTCGTCCGAGGGAATTTCGAGCCAGCGGCGTTTTAACCCTTTCCTTCCGCGCGTTAAACGTTTCTTCGCCGCGACCCGTCTCCCGCCCCGCGGGTTATTTTTCCCCGCTTTATCCGCGCACGCGAGTTATCTCTTATTTATCACGGGGGATCGACGTCCCTGGGAGGCCGAGTGAAAGGAAAAAACTAGCGCCGCTGCGTGGGAAAATTGATTTGAAAATCCGCCGACGAGCCTCTCGGATTGTCTCGGCCGAATCGCGAGGGGAAGTTCCGAGCGCGAAGAAGCGCCTCTGGTTTCGCGTTTAACGCGCGCCCACACGCGGCGAAATACTTGTTGCTCGGACCAAATTCGCCCCGTGTGTATATTATTGAATTGACGCGACCCGGGACGAACCTCCCGCTCCTCGTCGAACCGAAGGAAAAGTCACGCGCGTGACTCGATTTTTCCTCGCGGCCGACGAGCACTTTCTCGTGGAGATATTGACCATTCTTGTACGCGTTGTGAACGCGATCTTCGGAATTGAGGAAAAAATCGCAATGTGCGACACACACATACACACCCACACGCAAGGCGAGATAATCGAAAGTGCGTCGCTTACGCTTCCTCCTGCGGGGCAGACTAATGAATAAATTCCTTACACGGTCAGACGAGAAAGCTATCGCCGTCGTCGCTTCGCGGAAAATTGCGAGCCGGGAAAATTGGTGCGATCCGATCTCACTCTTCGTCTCTCTCTCTCTCTCTCTCTTCTTCTCCCTCTCTCTTTTCTTCTCCCTCTTCCTCGCTCTTTCTCTCTCTCTCTCTCTCTCTCTCTCACACATACACATACATTGTCCGTCTCTTTTCCTCTATCTCGTGCGTTACGCGTGAGGTGCGTAGGTAGCAGCTTCCACGAACGGCCAATCGAATCTCCTTCGTGGAAAATGCACTCGCTGGGATGCACCGTTGCATCTGGTCGCTGATGCGTCGCACATGCGCCGCACTTTGACTCTCTGGATAATGTCTCGAATTATCCTCGCGAAAACGACTGCGAAAGGGTGTTCTCGATTCCCCCCTACCGTGGTTCCCAAATACGCGAAGGGGTGGCTTGGTTTATTTGTTCTTTCCCTCGGCGGAAACGGGGAGAAAGAGAATTTCTGACAGATACAATTCTTGAAAGACATGATAATTTTTCATGTACTTTGCGGAGAGAGATTTCTCCCCAGAATCACGAATTCCTCGGGGACCTTGCGACCTGGATTTATTTTTGTCGTACTTACACGTTAATATTTTATTTTTCCACGTTTCAAGTATTCTTTCTGTAATGTTTCTTATTTTCTCTATTTTTTTCTTAATATTAATAATTTTTAATTTTTATGGAACGGAAATGTATTTATTTTTATTAATGTAGTAATTTCGGCTGTTAAATTGTTGAAAATGAGACAGTGTCAATTGTTAAACTATAAGAGCATGAAGAGGTAAACACAGTTAACTTAGCGCCATGTTGAATAAACAAAGACTTTTTATATCGTCATTAATATTTGCTTTAAATCAAATTTAAACCATTTTGGTATTTGAACTTCTTTAGTGGAATTTTAGTCTTACAATACATAAAAAACACGCGAAAGAAATATATGTCATGCCAACATAAGTGTCACATAGCAAAGCAATATTTTTTGTTATTAAGTATTTTTATATGTTATTTATCTCTCTTACACACACATATACACACGTAATTGGTGCAATTGCGATAGAAAAATAATTCAGACTAACAAGGGGTAAGGGCCTATATTTTCAATACACTTTTATCGATAAAAGTGTTCTAAATAGCCAATCGGATGGTTTGTAAGCCGTTTTTAGAGGCACTTTTATCAATAAAAATGAGTAGGGAAATACGCATCATAATCTCCATCGAAAAATTCTATTATCCCGCTAGGATCAATTTTAAGCC